TTTAGAACTTCTATAAAATATAAAAAATTATATCCTCTAAACATTTCAAGATGCAAATTTTACTGGTAGATGATGGATCCACCTATAAAGTAATTTTATCTTTACAGTGGAATTACCTTCAAATGCCACCTAACTACTGTTACCACACTGACCATTGTGATAAACACCATAAAAAAAACCTTTCAGTGTGAGAAAGGCAAAGATAGTAAACAACAGGCCTGTAGGTGGCAGACATTAGTTGCGTGACTAAATGTGTTGGTGTTGCTACCACTGAAAGTCTCTCTTTGTGATCTAAAGAGATTTTTTTTCCCAATGATGTTCTATCTCACACGCAGAGATAACTGCACACGCAGCATTGTGTCAGATATGACGAAGCAGGACTTGTGTGTATGCAACTGTCTATGTCTCTTTGAGTTACCTTATTCACACATCAAGCTTATGTAAAGCCCTATCACTATGTGGTAGTTGAGTGTGAACAGGCAGACTGCAGTGCTGCCACACCAAGCTGGCTCCTCTTCCTGGCCTGCTGACTCCATCAACCAACAGTGCTCATAACAATGATGATTCAGAGTGACGCAACAACTGATTTGTTTTTACTTACTGCATAGAAAAGAGGTAAAACAGGCACTGGAGGATGAAGATGATTTTTAATTCAGTGATTATAGTCTACGGATATGTTTTTATTGATTTCCCAAACTTTTAAAAAGAGTCACTTCTTAGACAAAATTAAGAAAAATTAGACAATAATCAATGAAACTATTTTAATATGTCCATATATTCTGAAATAAATCTTTAAACCACAAAACATTTAAAGAAAGTTAAGATCCTTGATCTTTTAGCAACAAAGTATGACTTGAGACTTCTCAGAAGATTAACTTCTCGTTGGTTTTGCACCAATATCAGTATCGGACAGGGCCCCGATCCAGCACTAAAATGGTGGTATCGGTATGTGCGAGTACCAACAAATAGGGCACCGAAACCACTTTGAGAGCCAAAAGTTTATTCAACTATTGTCACCCATTCCAGGTAGGCAATAAAAAGTTCTACTGGATTAACTTTGTATTAGTCTTTCTCCTGCTTCACAAAGGTAGGCAGCAGCTTGACAAAGCCATGACAGCGACTATTTTACATTCAAGTAGAATGCTGTTCTTCATATATACACACACACATTAATTTCAAACAGATAGTATCGGTATCGGCCAATACTGCACAGCCAGGTATCGGGTATCGGTATCAGGGCCAAAAATGGCACCGGCGCAACACTACTCCTCATTAGTATCAAATTCCAGGTAAATTGGGTTTGAGAACCTTAGCATACTGAGATTATATGGTTGGGCTTAAAACTGCTCAGCTACTGTAATTTGTGTGAAACTGTGAAATGTCAGTACGTTTTTTTTTTTTTTTTTTCATGATGATTTTATGCGAAATATTGTGGAAAGGACTTTAAGATATCAACAGGTTTGTTATGTTCGTTAAATTTTCCTCGTTTTGGAATCCTGTTTTCCAAAGCTTAAAATGATCCAAGAGGATGCGTCACGAATCCGATTATGTTCCGTTATCAATTTGTTGTTTTCAGGAACACGTCCAGGTCGCTACTTCAGGTCGCTATTTCATTTGCTTGGCATGTAATAGTGAAAAGTCAGTACGAAACCAAAACCTATTTTAACATGATTCCATTAATTCCATTCCATTCCAATGGAGATATTTTAGGTTAATTTACAAATTTTGAGTGACATTCATGATGCACATTACAGCTAGTTTAAAAGCACCGCTATAAGCAGGTCTTATATTTTGTTGACTAAGACAACTTTTTAGTCAAAAAAAACAAAAAAACAAAACAAAAAAAAAATAATTTTAATTAAGAAATAAAATGCCAGATGAAAAAGTAATGTTGACGGGTTTGAATTGTTACCATGCCTTGTCCCAGTTGGAGAGATAATAACAACTTATGGCTAAAATCAAAATTCTCCTTCTGTCTGTTTTTATCTTTTTCCAGCAAACGCCCACATGTTACCTGCCACTGTGTTGATTGCCACAGCCATTTTCTAGGCTCTTGACTTAGCTAAACTAGAACAAATTTAAAGGCTGGCTGCACAGGAACAGTGTTTTGAGCCCCTAGACAGTGTCACCCCGTAGCTCCGAGATTACTTGAGAGCTAAAAAAGGTATATTGGCTTTACATGATACGGTTAAGATAAGAACACTCACCAATAATAGCGTTATCATATTTTGCTTAATCCAACATTGAATTGAGAGGGGTTGTAAGTGTTGGGCACATATATACAGTAAGCACTGGTTCTGACAGGTGTCTGGCTAGCCACCTTACTTAAAACATGCAAACCTTTATGAGGTTTCTTCTTTAAAGAACCGAAACAATGAATTTGAATCATCCATCCATTTTCTGTCACGCCAAATCCCAGTTGGGGTAGCGAGGGGTGCTGGAGCCATCTCCAGCTGTCTATCTGTCTAATCTGAATCATTTAAATTTTTTTAAAAATTAGGCCAATCCCTAAATTATCAGGGAGTTTTAATTTCGTTTTATCAAAAGAGAAATACCAAAGGGGACGTTACTTTCATATCCAGATGAGCACCCTTGGATCTCCTTTTGCCTTCAGAATAGAAATCATTTCTCAGGAAACTGATTGAACAAATCGTCAGAAACATTTACTAGAGATTTATGTTAATATCAACATGATGGCATCACACATTTGCAGGAGATGCATGTTATTTCCCCACATCTCAAAATGCTGCTGTAAAATTAAGATCTGGTGACAGATTCTACAGATTGTCTTTGAGAATTTATCTTTTTATCTCATTTTATCTCAAATGTCTCTCTGCATGCCGGAGATAATCCTCTCAACAGCATAATGCTGCCACCACATTTGTGGAGGCAGCCTCTAGGGTTCTCTTCCCTGAGCTGGGAACCTGATCAATGGTTTCCTTCCCATATCTCAGCAAGGCTGTCCTGGTTCCATTGTTATTCCATACTTTAGGTGATGGGAGATGATCAAATCCAGGGATGCCTTTGGAGAAGACGGATGCCTCTTCTCCAAAACACCAAAATGGCATTGCTGAATTCTCCACAATAATGTCATTCAACCCTTCAGAGCACTGATAATGTAAATTAGGAATGTTGAAAACACACACATTTAAAGTTGCAGGACATTATCTTTTGATGCTTCCACAACTAAACTCTGCTTTAAACTTCACCACAGTTTTATAACCTTTCCTCTTTGGTGTATCCTGCTCTAGTAGATGCTGATACACTGGTTTTGTATGCATATTTAAGTCCTTCACTAATTCCTGGATGAACATGGTTAATAATTAGGTGAAAATTGTTTGCACTGGATTTTATTTAAGAGTAGGAGATTAAAAATGAGTTGGCTACCATTGCAGTTTTTAGATTTTACTAAAGAAAAAAAGCTAAACATTCTGAAAATCATTTATCATTTTCATTTAACACCTATGTGCCATTTTGGGTTGGCCCATTAAATAACATTTGGGACACTTTGAAATCTATCTTATTAAAAAGGTAGCATGCAAATTTCAAAGGTCTGGTTCCTCTCTTAAGACCTTATGCAAACACAACCAGTACACAAAGCCTAACAAGCAAAACCAAAAAAACTCTCCAAGTGTGTGTCTAACAGCATCACCGAAGACTATTCTTCAAACATAAATGCAAGCAAGACTGAACACTGGAACTATGAATGCCTTCAGATGGTGCAGATCACACCCACTTGCTGTGATCGTTCATGTTATTCTAGGAATTATGTAACATGCAAAGTAAAAAAAAAGGGATCCTATAGAAGAATGGCTGTCAGCAGAAAAGAGAAAGCAGGGGTAACAGCGTACCCAGAAACATTCCTTCATGGAGCTCTCTGCAACCTGCAGGACTCCATAAATCCCACCCTCATCCTGAATGCATGAGGCATCAAAATGTATGTGCAGACACTGGAGCAAGTGGACTCCACAAAGGGAAATCAATATCTAACCCCAACCCCCAATATGTAAATGAGCTGTGACTGAAGCCAGCATGCTCTGAGTGAGAAATCCATCTTGTATGAGCTAACCAAATATCCACTGAGAGGGAGAAATTTTACCACAGAGAGGATACAATGCAGGCTTTCTCACCTGATTTTGATGCATTAGGTTTACCCTGGAGCAATGAATCTAAAATCCCTCATTTAGAGCAGAAAAAAACATGCAAATCATTTTTGCCATATGTTTGCAATGGGTGTATTACAGTTATTAAACTTGAAATTTAATTGAAAAGATGTGTCAAAAGCATTTATGTTAATTCTGGGGATTTAATATGTGTGATCAATCAGAGTGGGGTAGCCGATATGACTCAGCACCTGTGTTTTGCAGATCTCTCTTTTCCCCGTTATTAATAATGCAATAATAATAATAATACATTATAGCAGGCAACTGTTTTCCGTAATTGCTTTTAATAACCTTATAGACTCTATAGGGTATTTTTCCTGTAATGTGCAATATCATCGCTGTAGCCTGACAGTAATTCAGCACCAAGGCAGCCAGCCAAGTTTCTACAGACACCGCAGTAGATCTGTGATCCTCTCAGAAGCCCAATGCAGATATTTTTCCATCCTTTTAGAACCACACAGAATGAGTGTTTATAATTGGAGCAGTAAGACACAGCAGGGCAATTAGGTCAATCAGCGAGGCGCTCCCACCTCAGAATCTAGGTTTCTAGATCTGTTGCTCAGCTGTGATTTCACAACCGCAAAACAGCCCCTTTAAAATCCGGATGTTATAACAACCAGAACCTAGACCCAGTTCTGATGATATAAACAATGGATCTTTTTCCCCCCATCTCATAGAGGTATGAGGTTCAGTTCCTTAGAATAATATTCTATTATCCAGAGGGTAAGGTTACACCGACTGTCAATTTCACAGACTTTTAAGCGAATATTGAGTTATGTTTTTTATGGGCTTTTGTTTTGATGTTAATGTGAAAAAAGGAGAGCAAATTTCTTTTACCTGTTCGGCGCAGCGTCTTCCAGTAAAACACCGGCTCTTTCGGACGCAGAGGCGCCGCAGACTCTCAGTTACCGTAATACCGGGACAAGGCGTGCACGCAGACTGCGTTCTTGTTTACGTCCGTTATTACGGTGCTCTGGGAAAGACTTTTGCTAGAAAATACCATCGGCCGTTTTTCGGGGGTATGAGGGAAAAAAAAGGACACTTAGAGTAAATCACAAGTGCGATCAGTGGTAATTGATTCAGCTCAATATGGAAAAATAGAAAGTGATGCTTAAAGGAAACTGCAAGATAGCCTATATGTTTAGCTTAAAAAATAAGTAAAATTTTATTTGATCATGTTAAAATTGCACCCAGATAGAAATAAAAATTAAATTGAAAAAAAAAAAAATTGTCTATCATAATTATCATAAGAATAACAAACCGGCAGGCTATAGAACATTATATATATATTATTCTCTGATACTTTTTAGGCTACATTAAAAGAGCAAAGCATTTAATGTACATATTAAGGACTTGTTGGACTAGAGGGAAGGTTTTATTTTATTTCTTACATCGTTCCATATGTTTGAAGTAAATCTAATAAATATGAAAAATAGTCCCAATTGGGGTCGCACCCCTCGCGACCCCAATTGGGACAAGCGTGTAAGATAATGGATGGATGGATGGATGTTTAATCACTTTTACCATTTACTATAGCCTAATAAGCCAGTTCCTTACAGGGGGGAAATATCTATACAGGCAAAAGCAGGGAAAAAAAATAGGTACCAGCGGTTAAAATAAAAACTCACTGTTATATTTGGTGATTGAATAGTTGTTTAAAAAAAAATAATAAATCCTTTAAATGGAGCTTT